GTTGTGATAAAAAGAAATCTGAACAAAATAATAGAACTCAGGCATATTTAAGAGTCATTGTAAAGTAGGTCAATTGGAAAGCAGTTTTGAAAATAAAAGACCAGAAAAACTAAAAAAAAAAATTTTTTAAATTAAATTTTTTTGAATTGCGCTAAAAAAGTAATTAAGTAAAACTAAGTTTTCACGGCTTAAATAAGCAATTGCAAATACTAACTACCTTACTAATTAGCTCGAAATTAGACCAAAAATCAAAAGTTTCAAACCGGTTCTTCTCGACTCACGACTGAAAGGGCTTTAATATGATATATCATTCAACCCTGTCCGATAATTATTTGTGGTAGCTGATTTTGCTTGGAAAACAAAAAATTAAAAAAAACTAAAACACGACTACAAAGTTCCTCCCCATTTTAAATACATTTTAAATGGTCGGAACAAAAAGTTGCTTTGCCTGTTATTGGCGGCTTTGGATTGTGCAATATTTTGAAAAACTTTATATAATCAGTGTGTTTGGTTGCAGGTAAATCGTTGTTTTCAAGATTTCAAAACAACCATGTCTTTAAGTCTTAAATTTTTGTTAGTATTTTGGTTGTAGTAGGCTGAATAAAGTGTTGCAATGTCATATGCAATTAGAAATTACCAGCGCGAATAGGGACGCCAATTTTTTCTTTTTATGTGAAAAAAAACCAATGTTTGTTTTGCGTAATTCAGCTTTTTGTATTACATAATTCACATTGTGTATTACCTAACTCAGACAGCGTATTACATAATTCAGATAATTTTTCCATAATTCAGGCAGTATGTGAAGTGCTTCCCACCTTTCAAGTGGGCTGTACATTTCTTTTGGCGCTTTTCCTCAGGGTGAATTTTCCAAATTTGTACTGACGGTAGTATTTTTAAGCAACCAGGGATAACTTAGAAGTTGATTTGATGCAACTTGGTGTCGTAAAATGACATGGCCGCAGGTGTATTAAGACTACATCCCATTGTTTCATATATCGCTATTGTTGCTTTCTTTTATACTTTCGCTACTCCTATTTGTGGAATGAACAAGCTAACATAAATCGGTTGTAAAAATAGAAATAATCCGAAAGATAGATCAAGACCAGGTAGCTCTAAAATAGAGATTGTCTATATATATCTATCGACTGGGCGGTGATAATTATTTGGTGCAGTTCTACTTTTTGCAAGGTTAGAACCGTTTTCATTAATCATATCCAACCCATTTATTTCAACATTTCTTCTGGGAACTTCATCTGAACCATAGTATTCAAATTGAGGATTTTTAGCCCTAAAATGTAACACTGCTTTTCCCCAATAGTAACCATTTGCAAATAAATTGATGGAATTTCCTGTGGTTCTGTAGCGTGTTATTTTAAAAGTGTGTGACTTACCCAATTCATATCCTGCTATTTTGTTTTCATTAACCGGTAGTAACCTTACTGAACTTAATATTTTTAACTCAATTTTTGCACCATGTTCGGGCCAAATGTCTGAGTGAATTAAACGTTTGGTTTGTGTTACTTATAATTACTTAAAGGGAAAGAACTGTTGAATATTTTCCGAGAGCGCCTTGGGCAGTTTGCACCAGGAAAGGTTATCCATCAAATCTATTTTCCTTGACATTTCGGAATGTAGGAAAAGCGCTTGCATAGTAGCCCGAAAATAGCCACCACTCTATTGATAAGCAACAGCAGCTGAACAAAAACTAGGGATCAAAGGAACGCTTCACTGAAGATGCTAGTCTAATCGATTTTAGCCAGAGAAATACTATTCAATTGAGGACTTTCTGTTTCTCTCCACTTGCACAGATTAATTTGGGACCCATCGGGCGCTCAGTTTTCTATCTTTCCCTCCCCTTCTAATATAAAATGGATTTTTTAAAATTTTGTTTCTGCAAATTAATTTAAAACAGTTTGCAACCTACTGCACAAGTATGTAATAGTTTTAACAAACGTTGGCAGTTTGTGCGTGCAATTGCGAACGCCTAAAAAATTCAAATAGCTGATCTGTTCAATTTCTAATAATTTTGCCAAAAATTTCATTGTCATTCTATGCTGCTGCAGGCTTTGGGTCTTTTTATTTATTCAGCCCAATTTTTCAAATCTTGAAAATAGAAAAATGAAATGACAATTATTGAAGCTCAATAAATCGCCTCAGTTTATTTGTTATCGCGTGTTCAATAATTAATGTGGCGATTTTACCAGTATTTTGGGCCGAACAAGTAAAAATGACACAGACGTCGGCTTGGTGCAAAAGTTTGTACCAGAAAGGGCATAAGAACCAAACTAATTTGTCAAATGGACAAATGAAAACTAGCTTATGTTCGATCTATCAAACCTTTCATTCATTTTACGCCATGGCATACTGATGATTATGTTTGCGAGAAACGTACCGAGACAAGTAATGAATCACTAACGAGCTTTCTTTTGTGCCTTTTGTTGAGTAGTTATTACTTTATCTTGACTTGCTGCTTCGTTATTTTTCATCTTTTGTTTGGCCGTTACTTTCAAATTGGATTTGCTTTTCTTTGGAACACAGAAAATCTAAAAATAAAATTTACTACGAAATTCTCGAAAGAATTATTTTTTCAATTATGTTGATCGAATTTCGATTGATTTTAGTTTTGTGATTAACAAAATTTTTGTGTTACATGTGTGAACACAAAAATTCAGAAATACAGAATTCAAAGTGGATTCACAATTTGTTCACTTTCGGCTTTCAGAAAAAAAAAATTTTGTGGTCCATTCAATTTTATTGAATTTTTTCATGTGCTTGTTACTTTCTAATTGAAGCTATATTCCCTCGTCGGTACAAAAAATCCAAAAATAAACAATCTCTTTGAGTTGAAACTAACAATAACATTTTGTTCATTCTCGGTTATATTTCTGAGGGCATTTTCCTTCATCTTCTAGTTGCAATTATCTATTGCAAAATTTATTTTAAAAAAAAAGAAATCGGTTCATTAAGCTTTTTTTTCTTCAATTTTTCTTCGGTCGGTGTGAGCTTCCTTAATAAAACGTGAATATGTTTCTTCCGAAATCACCAACTAAACTTTTCTTCTTTTAAATAATTTGAGGAAGTGAAACTGGTAAGTGGAAAAGCGTGCTAAAAATGAAAAGTTACCACGAGAGTTGAAAGCTAAAGCTTTTTCCGGGTTTCTTTTTATTCGTAGCTGTCATTAAATCAAGAACCCCTTCCCCAATTGCCCTGCTTATGTGGTGTTATGTTACGACTTCCGTTTTTGGATTGTATGGATGATATGGGATCGTCTACATTTTTTAAAAATCAAAAAATAATCTTTCATTCAATTTTTTTCTAGCCATTCCATACTAATTATATTTTTTCTATTAAATGCAAAGAATGACGAAAGTTAAAAAATGATTGAATTTTTTGTCAATTAAGGATTTTTTATTGTGGTAGTTTTCTGTTTGTCATATTTTGAAGAGATTCGTATTGCCTGCAAAACATAGGCTATAACAAGAGCATAAGTTGGACTAGATTATATTAGAAAGAGGGGACAAAAATAATTGTGATTTGAAATAAAAACTATGTAGCTTAAAATTCGTAGGGTCTTTTCGGTTGTACCTCCCTCATCGCAGTTTAGCGCTGCTTTGAGAGTAAAACATTGCTCCGCAAGCAATTTTTCTAGCCAAAAAGGTTCAATATTTAAATCGACCTAGAAATTTTATGGCATTTCATGTAATTACTGTTTTATATTCGGTTAAATAGTTTCATTGTTTATTATGAACTAGGATGTATATACATAAATCACTTATATTGCTCGTCACCAAACATGTGTCCAGTTTATCGCGGTTCTTAGATTTTCTTGAGGGTGCGGGTTTTAAAAAAATCAAGCCTTTGAGGCGTCCGTTTTCTCAGTATGTTTCTGCTGCCAGTGACGATCTTTTCAAATATTTAAAGTCTGAATGCATTTTCAATTCGGTGTCGTAAATGCAGTCTAAAAGAAATTTTAAAACCACATAACCAAAACTTCCAATGTCTAAAATATTCAATGGTAGTGTATAAAATCTTTTAAACGTTTGAAAAATTATAAAATCTGACAAAGAATGAATGTCTTTATGACAATAAGTTTTTTAAAGTAATTTGACGTATGTTTTTTCTGTGGTCTGAAAACGCTGGTATGTTTGCTTAAGCGTAACTGACAAACTGACGCAAAAAATAATTTAACGACTCAAGTCATTGTCAGATTTTGTTCAAAATTAAATCGGCATTTTGCGTCAAATATTACTTCTTATTAGTTATTAGTTGCTTTTGAATCGGAATCGATATATAAAATTTCGAGGCTAGTTAAAATTAAACAAAGCAAAAATAAATTGAAATTATTAATGAATGGAAAATTGAATCGCGTTATCATTAAGTGCTATTTATTGCAATTATTTTTGTTTTATTCCACAGATGCGTGAATTTTTCTGCACAAATAACCATGCATTATATTGTAAACAATTTTTTACGCTAACAAATATCCAAAATAGAAACAAGTGACCTCATTTTTTTCCATTTGAGTGGTTGTTGTAGTTGCATGATGTAGCCAATCTCCTACTGGTTTTTATAAAAGTTATCGTTCAGCTGATTATGAATATTGAATGGTTTTCGGAATATCATTTCATATCGATTTATAAATCCTGATTTTTCTCTCAACACAAAATCAGTTTTTAAATTGATTGGTTTTTAGGAATTTTCAATGCTTATGCGCGTGTTATAAAAAGTGTTCATACTTTATGCGTGTAATAATGGAACCGATTTCTATTCCCTAAGCTGTTCATACATACTAGTTATACATCTACTGGGCAAACACCGTGACAATCATACGATGCGATATCTAAGTCAGTCATTTTCATTTTCTGACTGAACTTGATAAGATTAGAACCACATACTACAGCGCTTCTTTGACATTTGAATGTTTGACTTTAAATTTTAACGACATGCTTCGAAGCGTGTTGAAATTAGAAAGTAACTAGAGCAAAAATTATAACCCCTCAAGGATTGTATTATAACTTAGATTAGCAGAAATCCCCTAACTGAGAAGTAGATTTATTCCTCTAGAATAAAGCAAACTGCTATTAAATATTCTCTCGACGATTACAAATTCAGTTCAACTCGCCAGTAATTTTTGTTCATGCTTGCTTTATTTAAGATAGATAGCGAATGGCTGGGTTGGTACTAAGTAGTACCATTCAAACTTAAGAGTGGATTGAAGAACAAATTATCAAAATAACTATTTCCTATTTTACTCTTTCGTAGTCTATTTAAACGCTATATTTTGCTAACAATTTGGGACCAAGTTAAAGTTTGTGTTATCTTTGAGAAAGTTATTTCCTCCGGGCAATTAATTTTACTTATAACCCCAAACGTTGTTTCATTTTGCCAATAGGTCTTATTACAACACCACAGGTCTGAGTCAATTGCAATTTAGACTAGTTTTGACAGCCACTTTATTGCATTTCCCTCAGCTACGTTTAAGAACTTCATTGTGGCAATTGGTACAAAATGAAGCCGAAAAGTAGAAATGCCTCGACTGAACATGACGCTCCGACTACAAGCAGTGCCACCGCTACTGCGTTGTCGTCTCCGTCTGTTAGAATATCACCAGTAGTATCTTTTAGCCACGTGCGAAACAGTTCGAATGTCAGTGGTAAGTTGATAGTAGTCTGGTTTTGAACATGCTTGTGTTTTAGTATGAGCTATCTTTTTTTCCAAACTAAGTTGCAAAAATTGTTGCGACGCAAATATTGTTGCGATAAAATGTGTTCATTTTGAAAGTGTTTATTTTGATCAATAACCAGCTATTAAGTACAGACAGTTCTAAGGATTTTAACACAGACTATTATTGTTCCGACTTTCGTTACGAAAGTAACGGAATATTTGTGCTCGGTGTGGTGTTTTTTCTTCAGACAAATTTTGACTTTTTAACTAGCCATTTTTGACGGTTTTTTTATACCATTCAAAAAGTAATGTTGTCATGAGCTTAATTTTGGAAAGATATTTCACCTGTGATTTGTTTCGTAAAGTTTTGGGGGTTTGAAAATTGCTTATTTTGGCCTATTTGGGACAACTAACGCGCGATATATTTCGCGCTATTAACGCGTAAGCGGAGATTTAATCCGTCATAGAAATTGTTTCAAATTGATTGAAGGAAGCTTATTTGCCATAATTGATTTGTTACTAGGAGCGAAATTTATCATTTTGAACTTAATATGGCGTGTAGGAGGATGATTTTCACAAAAAAAATCTCGAATTTAAAAAAGTGGATTTTGTTTTTGTTACATATAATTTTTTCATGTTATTACTGCTCCATAGACTGCTCTATAATTTAAGGCATGTAATTTGGTAAGTTTCTTTTTTTTCAAAATGAATGCTAATGCGTCAGAGTTGGCGTGCGTCACTTAAGAAATTTTGTAGACTCAAAGTTTTACTCATTCAGTTTTTCACAGGAGCGTTATTGGTCATATTTTTGCATGTGTATGACCACTTCGCCTCTTTGTTCATTTTTCAAGATATTTATTCATTTTTTTCAAGATAATTGGAAAAAAACAATAAAAAGAGTTTCTTGCGTAATCAGTTTGGATTCCAAAATGACCAAAAATTGTCAAATTTTGTTGTTACATCAAGTAGAAAAGCGATGAGCAGATCGCAATTTCTTTTAAAATTTCTTTCGTTTTTCTTGACAATTAAACTTTGAGTTTAATATTGTCAAGTGCTCAAATCATAGAGCATCAAAATTTCTTCGAATCGAAAGGTGTTCAGTTTATCAAAAGAGACTCTTAATTCAGTACCAGTGCTTTCCGGTAATTTCTGTGTCTGAGTTTTCCCTCTCTGTTTATTTTTTAACAACATGTAAATTTTGATATCGCTGACCTTTTCCAGACGCGGAGTTGATTGTTAACTTTTTGCATAGTAAATGTTGCAAATTAAATCATTGACTAATGATGATTTCTTACCCTCGCGACAGCAAGGGTATTGCAATCGGGTACTAGACTTTTTTTTCCTCGTAAACAATTTTGTCCACAGGATCATTAGCTTCTGGCGGCACATTGGCTCAAAATGAATTCAAATTTTGTACTGTATCTCGCACACTTAGCCTGGTGGTAATGAATACGCCTGAGAAGGCAAAGGTCCTGGGTTCGAATTTGACCACGACCAGTTTATTTCAAACAGTAAATGTTCCGTTCCGGTTTACAAAGATTTTGGCATAAGATTTGTCTGCTTATGTTTTGTCGGCTTAGTTGCCACATCTAAGAATCGTTTATTTTAGCTGTAAACAATTTTCACTGAAGTTGTTTTAAGCTTTTTAAAATCCGGCAGAATCGAAATTTTTTTTCACATTGGTAGTAATTTTGCCAGCTCGATTTGTTAAAACTTCATTTTTTTCCATTTTTCCTGGTATGTTATCGGCCTAATAAATTTTGGCTAAATTTTTATCTACTTAATAGACTCCTTTTGCTTCGTTGCGTCCGAAAAAAGTGTGCATTTATCTGCTCTCAGGGGAAAAGGGACTTATAACATTTCTTATAAGTTTAGAATTTTTTTGAGTTTCTTTTCGGTATAAAGGGTTTCTGCTCAGGTTTTTCGGCTCTGTTACCGCTTGGTAATTATGGAAAAAAAAGGCTTGAGACGGCAAAGATAAGCGGTTCGAATCCAGCCGGGTCCTTTTTTTGTAAACTTGATTTTTTGTGCTTTTTCATACTATCGTCCGTCTGTTTATTTTCGTCGGCTTAGTTCCTGTAGCTCGATGATTCAGCTTTATTTCAAGTTGCTTGTAACCCCTATGCTTGAGGCGACAAAACCCGGGAGTTTGATTCCAGTTGAGACCTGTTTTTCTTGCAAATAGAAAATTTGGCTCATTTAGATTATTGTCTGTCTGCCTATTTTTGTCTGCTTAGTTCCGCAGAAAGGACTTTTTCTGACAACTTGGCTTTTGATAGCATTCACAAAGCTCTTTATAGAGTTTATAATGGTGCAGGCAATTTTGTTCCTGATATTTTGGGCTTTTGTTGTAATTTTTATTGACAAAAACGATTTTTTGAATTTTTTTCGTTTGATTTTCATAATCATTCATATTTCTATCGCAAGTTGTGCGAAGCTCAGCTTCGCCTCAGTGTTTTTAAGTCTCCATAATCATGAGAAGTTCTCATTTTTTCTCAGTTATGAAAAAACATAAATGGACTATTAGGTTTCCATCCAATGAAATGTTTTAGTTGCAGTACTCAATTGATTTTTGAATGCATAATAGTCCACATGGAATGCATAATTTATTCATTTATCGATTTTGAGTCCACTTAAACCTTCTCATTTTTCTTACCATATATCTCCTTTCTAAATAAACAAACTTCCTATTTTACTGTTTGCCATTGTGTTTACTTTGTGTGCGTTGCTTGCTTAACTTTAAAGGAAAGTCTGTGATATTCGATCGTGATATCCCTGAATGCCAAATTACTCAAGGTTATTGGGAACCAGAATTGTCATTTGAACGTGAAAACTTATGCCAGTTTGTTTAAATTCAAATTTGTTCACGATTTATAGTTCTCTAAAAAGAAACTGCATTTCGACTCAAGGGAAATAAATTTGAGTACCTAAAACAGCATGAATTTAAATTGGTCCCAAAGTGGTCCCACTTTTATCACTTTCATTTCTGAAATTTTGGTCCTTTGATGATCCTTTCAACTTAAATTTTAAATTGATGCGTTGTTGTTTATTTTTTTCTTGAAACGCATTAGCTTTTGCTGAGATTAATTCAAGTGGAAGTTTTCTTTTGTTCTGAATTTAGAAGACAGAAGATCGTCATATGGAATATGTATGCATAATTTAGTACCCTTGTAGTTTTATTGTATCCACGTAAAAGAAAAGGTCGAATTCAAGTTGTGAATTGTGCAGTTTTACAATTATATATAACTCAAATTCCGTAGAGCAAAAGTTCAGTATACCTTACAGAAATTTTTGAGCATCAGTGGAATTGAATTATGTTCAGCTGGAGCTTTTTGTGCCGACCATTGAAAATGAGGAGGAACTTTGTATTCGGGTGTTTTTTTTCTTTTTTTAAATCATTTTTGCGTTTCCACGCAAAGTCAAGTACCGCAAATAATCATCGCGCAGGTTCCAGTGATATATCATATTAAAGCCTTTTTAGTCGTGATTCAAACGAAATCAAAACTTTTTCTCAGTGTCGAGAAAAACCGATTTGAAATTTTTGGTTTGTCTAATTTCGAGCGAATAAAGCGACGAGCAGGCGTATAGTTGACTTTTTTAAAGAAGGATAATCCTCTTCAAGCCCTGAAAGATTAAATTTGCTCTAGTTGTTCCGACTTTCGATACGAAAGTAACGAAATATTTGTGCTCGGGGTGGGTTTTTTTTTCTTCAGACAAATTTCACTTTTTAACTAGCCATTTTTGACGGAATTTTTTTAGATCATTCGAAAGCCATTGTTGTCCTGAGCTTAAATTTGAAAAGATATTTCACCTGTGATCATTTTGCGTAAAGTTATGAGGGTTTAAAGATTGCCGTTTTGGCCATTTTGACCAATTTGGGACAATTAACGCGCGATATAATTCGCGCTATTAATGCGTAAGCGGAGATTTAATCCGTCTTATAAATCGTTCCAAATTGGTTGAACGAAGCTTATTTGCCATAATTGGTTTGTTACAAGGAACGAAATGTATCTTTTTGTACTTCATATGGTGTGTGGGGGATGATTTTTATAAAAAATTTCAAATTAAAAAAAAATTTCATTTTATTTTATTTCATTTAATTTTTTATGTTATTACTGCTGCTCCATAAACCTTAAAAGGCAGTCGGAACATTCAGGGCTTCGCCCTGATACGAGCAGTCTTGTTACATTAGTTTTCGAATTTTTTTCAGCGCCATTTTACGATTCAAATTTTTTTGTCATTTTTGTGAAGGGCTCTCTAAAACACTAAGGTGACTATAAGAGCACTGTGATACTTTGATGCTGAAAGTTAGCGCACATTATGTACGCGTGGCGAAATATCCGGCACCCCAAAATTGTTCCAAATTCAATTGAGGTAGGCTAATTGGTCTTATTAATTCCATTCACGATTCTTAATATTCAGCTTAAAACTCAAAGTTTGTCAATATTTCATTAACCAAAAACTATTCGAGACCAGTTTATGGACAGTCGGAACATTCAGAGCGTTGTCCTGATACGAGCAATTTTTTTTAATATAAAAGCGTTTAACTGTTCTGCATATATTATCTGTTTTGCAGCCAACTCCACTCAAACTAAAATTTGAATCTTTTATAATGCATAAATTTGGTTAAACAAAAAAAATAAATACGAAACTCCGTAATTTTGTTTGCTGGTCGCTTGATTTTTCCCGCGATTCTACCGTCTTATGACTAAGTTGTCAAATACGTCTGAATCTTTCCGCTATACGCGCCGATAGTCAAATAAAGGAAAGAGCGCTAATTCAGTTCATTATTTCCCCCTGGCTGCAGTTGCGTCATTCAACCCACTTACCATGGTGCTGAGCTTAGACTCATCTCTTTTTGTTCAAGTTTTAATTACCCTACCGAATTAGTTGAGTTATTCAACAACCAAATTAGGATCGAACTAGATATCACTTTCAAATGGTTGCCAGTCTCATTAAAATTATTTTGATGGCTAATATTCTGTAGTCTTATGCCCAACTTATTTTATATTACAAATTTTGCAGTTACTCTGAATATCGACTTCATCTTTCAAATACCATTCTATTTTTTTGTTCATGACTTGAAAAAACTTATAATTTGCCACTCGAATTTAATTATGTTCTGGCCGTTTCATGAAAGCAATTTATTAGTTCTGCTGTTCTCTATATTTAGTTAGAGCAAAAGAATGCGTTGTTTCCTTTTTAAGTTGAAGAAATAACCTTTCGAAGGCTAATCTTTCTTTTAACAGATAAAACTAAGTAGTTTCAAATTCGTACTTTTCCTGTTCATTAAGTCGTTCTTCTAGCTCTGTTTATCGCATCAAATGTAATTCAAATGTACATCAAAAGTAATTGGTTTTTTGTTATTGCTTTTTTATAAAAAGAAAAATTATAATAATTTTTTTTTCGTAGCGCTGCTTACACGGACTGCTAAAACCGCAAGTGTTTTATTAAAAGAATTAAAATTCACGTTATTTTGGAAAGCTGAAACTATTTTTTGTTGAGTGTTATACTAAACCAGTGGAAATTGACCCTTCAACTCTAGAAGATACGCAATTTGACTCGGATTTTAACTTCTGTGATCGTCTTTCAGTTGTTTGTCCTAGATTGATTTTTCGAGATCTGTAAACCTCGTTTTGGGCTAATTCTTTTGCCTGGAGGTAGGTTGTTTTATGTCGCATATTTGATCAATCTTGTATTAATAATATTTCCTCGGAGTTTTCAATTGCTATAGAGGGTCAGGGTTGAAGGCTCCGATTGCTACCAAAATATCATTAAAAACATTGATTCCACTTTTTTTGCTCATCGGTTTTTTTTACATTTGTATGCATTTTCAAGTTTTATCAATTCAGTTGGGTTGTAGACTTATTTCCGAGCTAGTTTGACTCAGTATATTTGAGCGAGCTACCGTCCGTTAAACAAAACGCAACGGCCTCGGCACTAACTTGAAAAGTCTTTCAAGTGGAAACTATAATTTCATCGATATAATTTAGGTAATTTTTTCTGAAGTGAACTTCATTTTCGTTGCCAGTCCGTTCCAAATTCTTATCAAATCTGTGCACTGGATATTAAAGGGTTTCTAGTTGAACCCTGTTTTTTTAAACCTATTTTCAGTCGTGATAGGTGTAATGCAACATTGGGTTTTTTGGGTCAGAAATTGATCTTTTTGGCATGTTGAAAATTGGATTAAAGTGCTTGAAACTGAACAAGCTGAAATTAAATGAAACGGAAATCTGAAACTTAATTTCAAAGAAAATAGTTCACTAAATATCTTGGTAATTTTGAGCCGCCACTGGAAAGACCTGAAACGTTTTCCAATTACTTGAAACTAAACGACTGTTTTGGTATATTTTAAGATTTCAGAAAACAAAGAAGAGTACAGAAAAATGAAATAAAAAACAATATATTAAGGAGTTTAGAATCTACTTTTGTGCTCATTAACTTTCCCCGCTGAGTTTGTCATTTCGTTATTTGAATTGATGAAAACGTAACTGAATTTGTCTGCAGATGCCTCAATATGTATTCTAAAAATAAAAAAAGTTTTAACTGTGTTAAATGCTGCAAATAATTGCAGAATAAAAAACTACAACAAAAGCTAAACATACCAGTATGTTTGGAATACGTTAAATTTTCTGAAGCGTGATTTTATTTGGTTATTATTGAATATATTGAAGGTGACTTTTTTACCTTAGCAAAATTCACAGTTTATAACAAACCGAAGGTAACTTGAACGATTCTACATTCGATCTTAATAGTTATTTTTATAGCTTTTTGACTTTCAAATAAGTGATGTTACGTCAAATGTTTAGTGAATCATAGAACATTACATTGTTGAAATTAATAAAATTTGACTCAAAATTGTATCATAGTCCAAGTTTTGAGTTTGTTCTTGCAAATCTGTATTGTGAAGCACACCACTGCAAATAGTTTCATTCCTCGTAATATATCCGTCAAAATTTGAACTTTGTTGAATTTTCGCAGCCCTCTTTTTTCAATTTTGAATTGACTTTACAATAATTATACCCATTTTCTATCTGTTTATTCAATTATCATACGCATTTCGATTTTCAACAAAAGTTTCCTTGCTTTTAGATTTTGTTCACGAAGAAAAGGAGTTTTATTGAGTCGTTGATATCATATGGTTTATTGAAAAAAAAAGGAATTTACTTTTGTTCCAGCAGTTCTTTAATCACTCCGAACATTATTTAGGCATGTCTGACAACTTGCGATCATGTGCCAGTTGCACTGAAGAGTTTATCACATTCCAAGCCGAACACGATGAAGATCAACCTATGGGCGACAACAGCGTCGAGTTGCCGAATCGAAGCGGCAGCACTTCAGGAGGTCCGGGTGGATCCTCGTCAGTCGGCAGAACCCGAAGCAGCACCAGTGGACGACGTCGTAGGTTCGCACGACTCAGGCCCAACTCGACTGTGATGACAGACGAGGAGCGACAACAGCGTGATCAACAACGAGACCAATACTCGAAGGCGAAACGACAGTATGTACGAAGAGTGGAAGAGTATATTAAAAATAACAGTTTTGATAAGTTACAAGGATGGCTAAAATTCAGATGTGCTGTTTTCCACAAGATGTGGATCAAATTCTACTGTGTGCTAAAACCGGGTTTCTTAGTAGTATATAAAAACGAGAACATGCAACGTCGCATTGGTTGGGTCGGCACAATTCTTCTATCTTCTGTTTACATAATCGAGAGACCAACGCAACGCGAAGGGTTCTGCTTTAAACTCATACACTGTTTGAACAAGTCGCTGTGGGTTAACAAGGGTCCGAAAAAGTTGCAACCTGTGGGGAATCTGAAAGGGCTGAACTTGCCTCTGACGTCTGTGATTATAAGAGCGGAGTCCGAGGAAGTCGGCAAGAAATGGCTTCAAGCTATGAAGACAATGTGTGCCTCATTTTTCTATGACGTCATACCTCCAGTTGCGGGCTTAGCTGTCATTGAAGACTTCACAGTTCAATCAACGCCGAGTGACTCCTCGGAGAACGGAGATGAAGAAAACGATGTGAACAATCAGAACAACTCAGTAGACTCGGTCGAAATTGATCAATCAGCGTGCTCGGAGCAAATACACGAAGAAACGATGTATGTTCGAGACAACGAGGAACCCTTGGCGCATCTGAACCAGCTCTCAAAAGCAGCTGGAAACCAACTTGGAAACGGAAAATTGGATATCCTAATTGGACTTGCCAGACAAATTAAACCAAATCAACCCCTGTCCAGAATTGTAATACCCCCATTTGTAAATTACCCGAGGTCATTTCTCGATAAGCTACAAGACATGTTTTATAAAGTGGATCTAATAGCTGATATGTCGAAAGCGCCTACGCCGAAAGAAAGAATGGAAATATTCGCTAAGTTCATGCTTTGGCTGCAGAATTTTCATCCGACTCGTGAAATGAAGAAGTACTACAATTCAGTTTTAGGCGAGAGGTCGAGGTGTTACTTCCAACATCCAAACCGGATCTCGAACCCACTTCATAGCCGAAGAGGTAACTCATCATCCGCCTGCGAGTGCTATTTACTGCGTGAACAAACAAGAGGGATTTAATATCAAGGTTCTAATGGAGTTTGAGATACGATTCCACGGGTATTACGTGAGAACAAACGTACGAGGGAGGTTGGAAGTTCAGCTTGAGAATCTAAATGAAACGTACACGGCATCTTTTCCTGACCTGATGATTCTAAACGTCTTTATTGGCCAGTTCAGAATTGACTTCGAAGGTCCCTGTGTGTTAGCGTGTGAGCAAACTGGATATTCATGCGAGATTGAGAATAAAACACGGTGGAGTCCTTGGGGTCGTGAGAACCAGTTTCACAGGATCAGAGCTAGACTTTACGACGACAAGAAACAGGAGGTATGCCATTCAAAAATTGTCAAAGCTAACAGTTATTTCACTTATTTTTTCAAGCACTTTTCGGAATGGCTTGGCATAATGATATTTTCACGAATTTGTCTGTGGTCCATTTTGAACCACAAATACTTATGTTTACGATGCAACCCGAGGAATAAGGTGTTTCTGCTTAGGTAATGCAAGCTGAAGGACATTGGAACTCAGTAGTATATGTGAAGACGGCAGGAAGCAGCAGTAAAGAAGTGTTCTGGAAAGTGGAGAAGTCTAAACTACTGCAGAAGTATGTGGTGCACGAGAATGATTTGGTGGAGTATGAGTCTGCTAGACTGTGGTGTGGCTTAACTGAAGCCTTGCTCAGAGGCGAGGAGGAAGAAGCGATACAGCAGAAGACTGTAGTTGAGCAACGGCAGAGGGAGTTGAGAGCTACGCGGGAACAGTTAGGTACCCTCAACACTCGATCCCTTCTTCTACATTTTCAATTTTGTAGACATAGAGCGGAAATAGTTTTTTCATTAAAACTACCTTAAAGTGTCCTCTTATAAATACTCTCGTTATCAAAAGGCTTTGTTCTAGCAGTCTTTGTGTTTTGCTTAGAGGATTGATCTTTCTCCTGTCTTTATAGGCGTGGTGTATCAACCCTCTTTGATGGTTGAAGACGAAAACGACCCACACGAAACCAAGATATTCACTTATAAATATCATTCAGACGCATTGTGGGACCCCAACTTCGACGATTATCAATACGAGCACAATTTTCAAATCAAAACGCACAAGAGGGGAACGTTTCCTTCGATATCGAGTAGCACAAGAGTGGAATTGCATGGAGGCGATGGTAGTCACCTAGGTGAGGATGCGTCAGACTCGGCTGATGGAGGGTTACATGTGAGAGTCGTGAAACAGCCATCGAAGGAGCGAGTTGATAGGTAAGTAACAATGTTGTCCTGGTATTGGGGGCATGTTTGCCAGCTCGTTCGACAGAATGGCCCCTGCCCCGTAAATTGTAGCCGGTACGTTATATCGAAATCAAAATGGGTTGGGTCTATGATTTTTGTGTTACTAGGCTGGGAGGTTGTAATGGGAAAAGTAAGTAGGCAGAAAGAAAATTTATCTATTATTTAAACGCAACGCCAAGTGCTCTATGGACTCCATGTTTAAGCGATTTTCACAGGGGACAATGGTTAATAAAAATCGTTGAATATTCAAGAAAATCATGAATATTCTAGAATGTTTTAAGGCAAAATCTGGATAAGAATTAACGTCAGAACTTTACTTATGTCAAGGCCAAATGTCTTGACAAATCGTCGTGAAGTTTTGAGAAACGTTTTCATTTTCGAGATTTCAATTACTAACACCAAAATTTGAAATTTCGAAACCTATAGTGGGATACTGTCTGGGTATTCTCAGAGATTGCAAATTTTGCATCCAAGTGTGTCTGCTCAAGTCCTTTTAGCTTCATGGCAATTTTTATGATTTTTTTGAAAGTTTTTCAAACAATTTAGATTCGAAATACTTCACAAAACTTGAGTTTAGCAGCCCTATGGCGAGGTGCTGTCAGGATACTGGCAGGGTGTGCAAATCTTGCCTTTAGATACTACAGCACAAATCCTTTTAACTTCCAAAGTTTAGGTTTAAAAAAACTCACCAAAATTTGAAATTAGCAACCCTGTAGGGTGTGGTGCTTTTAGGGTTGTTTCAGGGTTGCAAATATGTCTGGTAATATCCTTTTAGCTTTCGTGATATGACATTTTATATTTTTTTTTGGAAAACTTTTCAAACAATTTAGATTTGAAATAATTCACAAAAATTGAAATTAGCAACCCTATGGTGGGGTGCTATCATGGTAATTGTAGGGTTTGCAAATTTTGCTTTTAAATACTAGTGCACAAATCTTTTTAGCTTCCGAGATATGACGTTTTTCATGATTTTTCAAAAGTTTAAATTTAACAATTCGAAATTAGACATGATTTATTAGGAAATTACGTAGTCTCTAGGTAACGAATACGCCTAGGACGGCAAAGGTCCTATTTTCGAATCTGACCAGGACCTGCTTTAAGTTGTCTGCTATGTTTTGTCTGCTTAGTTGCTACACCTTTACGCTAGCGAGCGGTAGTGTGTTAGTACGAACCGTCTTTTTTTCTAACCTAACACGCAAAAAAAAGTGTTCATCAAAAGTTTTAACTTGTGTGCCTTTTTGCTATAATCATGATCTGTAGCACTGAAATTTTCATAGCATCTGTTTTCTGCTTTATCTGTGACTAGTGTTTGTTATGGACCAAGAGTCCGTGGCTGAGTGGCTAGTGCGTGAGACTCATAATTTCTAGGTCGTAGTGTTCATTATTTGATGGCAAAGTGTTAATTATTTGGTGGCAATTTTGCTATAATCACGATCTGTAGCATTGGAATTTTCATAGCATCCGTCCTCTGCTTTATTTAAGGCTAGTGTTTGTGATTAATGAAGTGTTCATGGCTGAGTGATTAGTTCTTGAGACTCATATTCTCTAGGTCGCCGTAGGTCGCAGATTGAATCCGGACCTAGCCGAATTTATAGTAATTAGGCTTATTTCTACTTTTTCTTAGTGCACATTATAGAACTGATTTTTGTCGTGTTCTGGCTATTTAGATTGATACGGGATACTTTTTCTTTTCTTGACTTAGATCAGTTAAATGAATAGCATATTTCGCTTCAAGAGAACGGTTGTTTTTACAACCTAGTGATTAAAAATCTATGCAGTTCTCAGTAAAGAGCCGAACACTGTGTTGGTATTTTCCCTCATGGATAGAAGTCTTAATAGTATATCGAAATTGAATATGTTTGACACCTGAAAACGGATTTGTAGATCCAATTGTGATCTCCCAGGCAGTTTTAAATGTACTTGAGTGTCATCTAGTGCATTCTTTTAATGGCTTTTGTCTAAAAATAATTGATTGTTTTTATGATTATTGACAATGTTATGTAATGTTTAGGTACACACACCTATCGGAAACTATAAATGGCGAACAACGATTTGAAAGCTCAATGCAGGCTCAAATGAACTCAATCCAACGAGATCTCAGGACACTGCATGAAGAGATCCGCACTATCCAAAGTGCAACCAAGGCAGTAGCCACCAATCAGCACAGAGCAAATGCGAATTACCAGAGTAGAATTGTACATGAGAATCAGCGTAGAAACTCTTCAAAAGGGCTGTCATGTAGTGCGATATTCTTTTGTATCATGTTTGTCATCGCTTGTGTAGTATTTACATACTACTATAACACATCTTCTTCCAAACCAAATATTAGCTGACATTTGATGTAAAATGCGAAAAAATAGATTAATATATTCTGATCTTCCTTTTAAATTGTGCTTGATTCAATTATGGCATTGTACGAGTTTCAAAGAACCTCTAAATCTTTCCTAAATAAAATTAATTTCTGATAGTCATTTTCAAATCTACAGGATCAAAGTGTGCAGATAATAAGACAGACATCTCTGAAGAATTTTTTAAATGCGACCTTTAAAAGAAGACAATAGGTGCATTTTTTGATTCAGATAATTTGATTTAAAATATCTAGTTAACTTCAAATGGCTGAAATTTTAGAGTCTTGAGATTTATTCCGCAAATTGATGCAAATTTTCAAGTGGAATCTTTCTATTGAATCTTTTATAGCTAATTTTTGGAAAGAAGGGGGAACATTCTATGTGCAAATAACAGAATTTTCTCTCAACCACCTTCATTTTTGCAAAAAGAAGGTAAAAGGAAATACCTTCTCAAAATATTACGATAAGAAAGCTTTCCGAAATCACTATCAGCTCAACTAACCACTAACACTAAGCACTAACAACTAACCTAAGACAGGGAAAGCCGCTTGCCGTGCAAGTAGCACAACTGTTCCGACCACACTCATAAAACAACTACAGAAAAAGGTTGTTCTTTTTTCTTGAAATAAGTGTTTTTTAGTGCGTGGTGATTACAGAACTATACAGACGAGTTTAAGGTTAGTGAATTAGGCGTATTCTACAATATGTGTCTTCAAAAAATGAATGACAACCAAAAATTTTTTATAATTTTTTGCAAAACAATTTTCTTAATTGCCAAGGAAGCGCTAAATGATATTCGCAAAACTAGTTTTCTTTTAAAATTTTTTTCTCAGCCTAAAATTTTGATAAAGGTTCAGTGTTCATATAATAAACGTTATAATAAACGATTGCTTTCCTTGCTCGAAAATGAACTCAAATTCAAAAATTTTTCTCGACATGGGGACAGTTTTTTGGTATATTTCATAATGTTTAAATCACGACTGAAATAACTTTAATTTGAAATATCACTAGATCCATTCCAATTATTGTTTGTGGTACCTGATTTGGCTTTTTTTCTTGGAAAAAAAACTAACACACCCGAATTTGAATTTTCTCCCCATTTTCAAAGGTTGAAACAATAAGAACATATTTAGTTTTTTATTTATTTTCATCACCCGTTGTTCAATCTGAAGCGCATCTCGACACATGCATTTTTTAAATTTTTCATTGCAGCTCGAATTGCGGCTCTAAAAGCTTTGCCCGATAGAATATGCCGCATACACTTTCGATGCAAACTAAACGGAAAGTAACAGCAGCTACATAAAAAGATAACGGCGGCCGCTGGCGCTGGTTTCCTGATTCGGGAACCATTGCTACGAAGTTAAAATTATCGGCAGCTACTCCACTTCGATCGAGGTAAAAAAAACCTTGTCGTGCTGAGCTAAAAGTGCGCCTGTCAGACTAATTAAAATGTCAATTTAAGTTAGATCATTGATGGCCTCTTCTAATTTAATGACTTCAGGAGGATATTGCGATCGGTTGTTGCCAGGATTAAAAACCAGTGCTTTAAAACATTGAAGGAAGGATGACCAGTTTGGTGTTATTGTTGATTGAAAGTAAAATAACGCGTAAAAGAAAAGCACGTTGTTGACTGTTAACAACAGTAAAACAGACGCCACAACGTTGTGTGAAGGAATGAGTGAGAGGGAGAAATTGCCAAAGCAATTTAAAGGCTTACTACAGGCGAAATACATTTTCCAATTTTTTGTGCGCACAAAGGTATTCCAATTGGTGCTGACCGGCTCTTCGGGTTTTACGAAGTCTGGTCTCTTTTAGCATGTCAAGTGTTGACCACATTTAAATACCACCGAGCGTCTTCATCCACTATGAAGTCCACCGGGAAAAGCAATTACTTGAACATACAAAAGAATCAAAAAGAAAAACAGGGATTTCACGCATTAATATTGATTATTCAAAAAATTGAAAGCTTTTGCACACCTTTCACTGACACTATTAATGGCTCCTTCACTGCTTTTCATCAGTCTTGCACGGAGGAATGTGCAGCATCCGTTACCGTCTCGTTGTGATCTACATTTGGTACCGATGTTGTAACACCCTCGGATTGCGGTACTGTTTCAAAATTTGTGCCAGTTGACGAAACTGGTGGTGGAGTTGACGCAGCAGAAAAGACGCATTTACTTGTACATATTTTGGGGCAGCATCAGAATTTTCTAAGGGCGTCAGTTTGATTACGTGAAGTCTGCGGGCTTCAGCGCAAACGTCTCCATCTTGCTTGGGTGGTTTGTACCACCCACAGACTTTAAATCCCTCAAGCTCATTAACAGCCCTCACAACTTCATTCACGGTTTGGCTAAACAAAGGGATCAAATGTAGGCATGTTACTTTCCAAACCTCCGGGGTGGGAAGCAAAGATGGCGAGGTCAGAGACACTTTGCAGTTCTGCTACTGATGATGGGCAGTGCATATTTTCCGCAATCTCCCATGAAACTCGAGCACACTAGGCATTCCGATTCCTTCCCGATTTCTTTAGACAGACACGAGTGTCCCTTTTGCCCTACATACACTGCCGGCCATGGCACATTATTCCGTCACAAGCATCAGTCTTTTCATGAATTCTTGTAAACCGAACATTCTTGGAGGAAAATGCAAACCAACGCATTTCAGTTATTGCATCGCAACTTATTGGTAGGTCCATACCCATTAGCGATGTGTCATTATGAAGTGGAATAATTGGCTCATCTGTCGCCAGCAACAATTTACCGCCTTCAATGACCCCTTTTATATCGGCAATTAGTAAAAACACAGGCGTCGCCGGGGGCAAACGCGCGCAATACCTGAAAAGCACCGCCGATGCTTGAGGCGTCTTCGTGAATAAAGCAGAGGTTTTACAACTCTCGGGAATATCGAACAGGACGAACCGGTCGTACGTATCCTGCTGGAAGAGTGATAATTTGGCGGGAGCTGCCGATTTGGTCCAGTCCATCTGGTTCAACGTGACGCCTCCCGTGAACGATGAACAGCGTGACCCTCAGTGTCCTCCCCTAGAGCCACGTCATGAAATATGATGTCGCTGAAGTTCGCATCGCCAACTGTCCGAGCTTGCTCATAGTTGAGGCGCGGAGGTAGTAAAGACATACCATACCTAACACTGAAAATCTTGGAATTTCTGGTGAAATTAGAAGTGAGATAATTAGTGAGCAAAAAGAGTCAAGTTTTACAGATAACATGAGTCTGTGAAAAATCGAATTTGAAAAAGCAATTGAACGTTTCGTATACAATTAGTAACTAATTTTCAACAATGAAACTCACATTTTGTAAAAATCTTGTCAATAAATAATGTTCCGCAACGTTCCTCAATTGAGTGGGTGAGCAAATGCGGCCACCTATAGTAGCGAGGCTGACAAAAAAAATCATCAAATTAACATAAAAATTGTTTAACATAAAAATTTCCACAAAATGAACAGAGCGGAAATTTATCTTAAACAATACATCTTAGTTAACGGAATTTTCAAGGTCGTTTCGTTAACTATCCAATGAAAGCTATTTTTTCGTCTTTAATTTCTGCTGCTGTGCCGCTCTAAACAATTCGGACAAATGAAATGTGTACAATGAAAAACACAGCACAATCAATAAAAAAAAGGGAAACGAAAAGTTGACGTATAAAGAAAAAACATCGTTGCTGGAATTAAACTTGATGACGCCATCTAGCGGCAGTTAAATTTAAACAGCATAACTGATGCTTAAACAGCATAACTGACGCCAATATGCATGAACGTATACAATGATGTTTGCAATGGTCCAAGTGGTTGCGCAGTAGACTGCTGAGCTGCAGCTCAAGAGTTCGAATCCCGCAGTCAAATTTTTTCTACAAACAATGAATATCTCGGGGGATAGACAGATAAGTCTCTTGTATTTCATCTAGCATGCTTCGCAAAAGGAGTGATACGTTTCTGATTCATTCCTGTCCATTAGCAGATTGTCTTCTACAATTACTGGTCTTTCAGAGCTAGTTGTTGTTGTTGTTGTTGTTGTTGTTGTTGTTGTTGTTGTTGGGGATTCACAGCACTGCTGTTGGGATTCTTGGTCCCGGCGTCTTCTCAAAAACAATGTCCACTTGTTTCTGCACGTGATACAATCACAGAATAATTGCCACGTGCACGTTGTCATTTCTGAAAATCTCTCGTTTACAAATTTCCACATCGTGTTTAAAATTCTCGTCTTGAGGCCGATTCGTTTATCAAAATGAATATATGGTTCTAATCGATTTACAATCCTACTGGTTCTGAAAACAAATTCGTTTCTCGCTTTTTCCGTTCTCACTTTTCGCATCTCAAAAATTTCTGTATTTCTAGCCCGTGTGGTTCGCCTGTTTAACACTATTTCATTTCGTTCATTAGAATCAAGACTGGCAAGAAGTAAGATGTTATTTAGCTGGATGAACATGGGCAGGGGTAAAATGTTTAGCAAGCGTAGTTCGTTGATGTACACTCCCGTTTTATTTCCAGTGATCCAACGGATTACTTTCTTTTGAAATCGCTCCAACTGCAATTGATCCCCCCTCGATATATGTGTACATGAGAGTCCGTATAATAACACTGGGAGTATTAGTGACTTATACAGGCCTAACTTTACAAAAGTATTTATCTTTGCTGATAGGTTTCTTCTCAGGAGGTACAGTACTTGGTTTGCCTTCTTTAATCTTGTTTCAATGTGTACCTTCCAACTTAAATCGCCCGACACAAAAATTCCCAGATCTTTCACAACCATCGATGTTCCAAGCACTACACCAAAAAGCATAGAGTTAGCGTCTCCGCCCCTAAAACTTGCTTTTGCACATTTATCTAGTGCTAATTCCATTTTGTTTTCAGTTACCCACTGCTGAATTTTGTCCAGATCTTCTTGAATTTCAATTGATGTTTTTTTGATGGAAAGTAGTTTAAGATCATCCGCAAAAATATATGGTTCAGAGAATTTGAGTACTTCAGGTAGGTCGTTAATAAAAATGCAAAAGAGCAGTGGTCCTAAAAGTGATCCTTGGGGAACACCACTAGTGACTTCTAAAACTTTTGAGCTGATATTGTCTACTCGTACAAACTGTTTCCTGTTTTTCAAATAGTCA